TTGTAAATAAGGCAGAAAAGTGCAAAAAATGAAGTATTGACTCTCTATTTTCACTTTTCAGCCTTATTTACAAAAAAAAAAAACTGGAACTCATGTTACGTTTCAAAGCCCTGAGCACAGCCGAATGTTCTAGTCGCACGTTTAAAATGAATTAAATCGAATCAATTGCACTTCGAAAGTTCAGCGCAAACCTACGGAGGTTTTCCAAAAACTGCGCCTGGGCCTGGCGTACACAATTTTAGCCCCTGGAACGCGGGAGTCGATAAATGCCCCTGAAAAGTGCGTAAATTGGTAAAAGACCCTCAGGCACCCTTTCAAAGACACTATCTCTGCCCGAGGAAGATTGTTTATGCCATAAAAGTCGTGAGTTTAATGCCTTTGGCTTGGTGGCTTGGTTCATTGTCCGTACGTAATGAAAAGTCGACTACGTTAAAGCCTTCTTTAATACCGCCTGCGCCATCTCGGTTTCGTTAGTGTCCCTGTCAAACATGAAAACATCCACCATAGTCTGTTTATATGATCCACGCAACTGCAGACTTAATATAGCAGTATTCGTCACTGTAATCGCAACCTGCAATCAACAAAAAAAAAAGTTTTTATTTTTTTCAGAGAAATCGTAACTAAATGTGATATGGGGGAGAGGGGGATGAAGGCATTGTGACAACACACTTTTATACAGTTTCAAATTCCCAAATATTAAAAGGAGTGAGCCACTTAAAAGTAAACTCAATTCAGCAAATGTCCTCCTACTTCAGCTCAAATTGTCACTGGCTTAAGTAATTTATCTGCACTTTGTTTTAATTTTTCCGAGCAACTGGCCTCGATGGTCTGAACCTCGCATTAATAGGACGAGAGCAGCAGCCATGAAAGCGTGAAACAATTGGTCATAAAGTTTCTTTCTATTTTTGCCTTTCAAAAAAAAAAAAAAAATTCAAAATCATCTTGTTTGCATGCCCGTGGGGCAGACCATAGCCGCATAGGTCAGCGGTTCCCAACCTTTTTCGGCTCGCGACCCAAAACTGGCTTCCAAAAATTTTCGCGACCCCACAGCCGAAATGTCGGGACCCAACGCGACCCATGACCCTCACCCCCCCCCCCCCCCCAAAAAAAAAAAATAAAAAAATAAAAATAAAAATAATAATAATCCAATTTTTTAAAAATGTTTTAATTGTTTCTTGTTTAGCTTTGTGTCTTATATATGTTGTAAATGAAAGAAGGTTAGTTTCTCATTGCTTTATTGTTCTATCAGTGGCTGCCCTGGGCCTGCATACTACCAGCTTGTCGATGCGCGGTAAGGTGTTTTCCGTCACCGCCACGCGTAGGTCCCCTTCAACATTAAGCGGATTTCCGTCCGCCGCGCCCGCGCCCGCCTGGGGCCTGAGCAGCACCAGGGGCTGGCAGGTTCCCGGAGCTGTTGGACGATCCAGAACCTCGGCCTCGGCCAGCACCTCCCGGTGCATTTGATGCCGGCCGTTTCGGCGCGGTCCGCAGCCAGTTCTCCAGGCTGCCCCGTTTTCCCGCCATGCCCCGGCCGCCACAAGCACCAGCAGGCCAGCCGAGCCGCCGCCCCGGGCCCCAGTTACTACGCCGCGACAACAGTGGAACCTTTCTGCAAGCGACTGTACTCAACAATTGATGTCAAGTTCCCCTTTTCCGTGTAAATCCATCTTCCCCCTTTTAGCCGTAAACTGATGCTAGGACGCATCCCACTGCCAAGGCAGACACAAACAACTCTGGGATTTCCCTTCGCGGAAGCGCCAATACCGTAGGCTGCTAGGGGCCGCTAGCGACCCAGGTATACGCTTCGCGACCCAAGGCGACCCCCGCCACCACGCCGCGATCCAAAAAAAAATTTCCGCGACCCAAAATTGGGTCGCGACCCCAAGGTTGGGAACCGCTGGCATAGGTCCTGGTGATAAATTTTCGAGGGGTACCTCACTTCGAAAACAGGTGTACACTGACTGGTGACTATACTCAATTTCCACTTGGACTAGACTGAAAATATCACGAAATGCGTTGCAAAAATACTAAAATTGGGACAAATTTACGTGGTTTTGCCGACTTTTTCAGTGACTAGACTGAAACAAGGCAGTGACTGGAGTCAGGGGTGTACACTGACTAGACGAAGTGAGGTACCCCTCGTAAATTTTCGAATCCCGTGCTCGACGCTGAATCCAGAGAGGCGCGCGGCATCGTGGCGCCAAGATGAGAAAATACATCGAATACATATGTTGCTTCTCAGAAAGATCGTTTTTCGAAACCTCACTGTTAAAAATGAATGAAATGTAATAACATTTGTGACATTATTTTTCATTAAACGTCATTATTTTTAATTACATCTCCACATTCATTACATTGTAATAAAAATTTCATTACCTCGGTCATAAAGTTTAATGACATTAGCCATGTAATGAAAGTTTCATTACATTATGCAGCTTGTCATGAAATTTTCATTACATGTCATTAAATTTTTCAAAAATATTTAAGCATGACTGAAATTTTTGGGGGAACTTCAACAGGTATAAGGTCCCATCAGGTATAATCCCATCAGGTATAATGTTCTTCAGGTATAATTGGCAACACGCATAATTCTCAACAGGTATAATGGATTTATTTTTTGTTTCATCAGGTATAATTTGCATCAAGTATAATTCCCAACAAATATAACTTTTATTTTTTAAAATCTTTTTTATATTTTACAATAAATTTGGCTCTGAGGAGCGATCCAATTCATAGTCTGGGCAACAGTGACACCTTGCTAGGTGGGTGCATTCAGAAAGCGAGGCAATAGTGGAACCTTGGCCAAGGAGGGGAATCCATTCCAGAACCAGGAAGAAGACTTGAAATCAGAACTGACAATTAATGCTTCTCACTCTGTAGGCCACTGTACATCACTACACTAATCTAGAATACTAATCAAAGTACAATAATTGGTACGCCACCTCCGCTTCGGATACCATCAATGCAAAGCACACTGGGAACAACTGTAACGAAGTGCCAAAACATCTTTAAGTATCGATGCAGTACCGTACATCGCAAAGTACACAAGAAAGCCTTGTAGACTTTTTGAGTGCTTGCAGCTGCAAACAGTGTGCTCACCATGTCTTGGTAGAGGGCCAAAATGACTAACAGCTGCCTACTAGATGGTTTCTCAGGACGGACGGAAAATGTTCCATCAATTATGATCCATACTGCAGCTGGTGAAATTGTGTATTATGCCTGATGGGAATTATATTTGACGGGAATTATGTTTGATGACATTATTCCTGATGGGAATTATATGTGAAGATAATTATATCTTATGCTACGCTTGTATTTATTATATAATATCGGTTATATCTGTTAAGAATTATACCTGAGGAGATTTCATGTTAATCAAGAATAATTATTTATGCATTATATCTGATGAGAATTATGCTTGATGAGATTATACCTGATGGGACCTTATACCTGATGAAGACTACTCAAATTTTTTAGGTTTTTCCAGGATCTAAGTTAAGCTTACTCAAACTAATTAAGCCTTCTATTGGCCGTTAACATCAATTTTTCTCTTACAAGCGTCTATTACGGCGTCATATGCCAAATCTGTCATTCGCAAGTCTGCCGCTAGGTGTCGCATGGTACACGGGGATCACTCTCAACTCTGTATTTTGTATTAAAATATTAAATCGTGAGGAGATATTCTGAAATTTATCCGTGTTTCATGTAAAGTAGTGGATTGTTTAACGGCGAAGAGTTTGGGGGAAAAGAGCGATATTTGAAGTGACCGAATAGATTTTCCTGATGTTGCTCGAAGGCGTCTACGGGCTGCCGTTTGGTAGGGTCAGGCCCCGATCTCCCCTAACCAGGCAACGAAACTGCCTCAGATCAGAGTTGTCCTGTGCCACTCAATTTTTACCTCTTCTCTGCTGTCAGAGTCGTTGTGAATCCACTCCAACCTATGTCAAATCGAATCGAAAAGTTGCGCAATTTGCGTCAACTTTGATCATTTTCATTACGTTTTTGTAATTAAAATTTTCATTACATTCGTTCATTACACTGTAATGAAAATTTTAATGACATATATGTAATGAAAACTTTAATTACATTGTAATGATTATAGCTTCACTACCATGTAATGAATATGTAAAAAAAAATTTTAACAGTGCTCTGCATATTCACTGGTGTGCCCCTTTGAGGGGCCTCACACGTTAAAAGCTCTTTGTAAAAACATTTTTCTGATGTAGAAGGATAAGATTTAATGATTTCCGTATTTTAAGCCTGTTAGATAATTGAGTGAGCTTCATTTTGACATAAAGAAAAGGGACTGAGGACATCTTTTTAGGAAATTTTGTAGAAACGTTTAAAATTTTGGTTCTTGTAAGATTTTGTTCGCATACTTGCTCAGAGCTGAGGGGGCAAAATCAGGGAGACTCATGCCATCATAGAAATGACTACAAGCTGAAGTGTTTACTCAGTGTGCGTCTACAGATGCATACTTGGCTAAGTACACATCTACAGATGCATGTATACTTGGGTGAGTTCACACCTACAGACGCATACCCAACTCATCCAAGTATGTATCTGCATATGTGCACTCAGCTGGGTATGCATCTGTAGACGTTTACTCAGCTGAGTATGCATCTGTACGTAGATGGTGTGCTGAGCTAAAAATGCATCTGCACGTGTACAAGTATGCATCTGAAAACGCGTACTGAGTACAGACTTAAGTTTGTAGAGTAAAATAGGCTTTTAATCTGCAATTGTTTTATAAAAAAGAAAAACATTTTTCGAACAATTTTTTAACAAATAATTATAAGCGATTTCAGCGTTCGACCTACAATGTCTGGATGGATACAGATACACTCCAAGCCGTAAAAGGGTCCTCGGAGAAGGGTATGGTCAAGGGATTGTGTCCCCAGAATGCCCGTATCAAACATGAAACGAAATTCTTGCATTTTTGAAAGAGTGAAAAAAGTGATAATTTGGTATTCTTCTCCCATCGAGCTCCTGGTGTTGCTTTCGGTGGTCTGAAAAGCGTGACCAGACGATTCTATTTTCGTCGCAGGAACATCATTCGGACAACCGGCGCATTTTTTGCAACGATTCAACTGAAACTTCGTAAGAGCCAAAATTTCGAATTTTCAACGTCGATGCGCGAGGGTTAAGCCCTAAGTTACAGACCTGGCCGAGGTCACGTTCAGTTTGTAATGCCAGGAAGTAACTTTTGCGCGCTATTACGTCTTCAATATTGTAAAATCGTGTTTCACGGCCCACCCTAGTGCCGAGGAAATCGTTCCAACTGGTGTTTGAAATGTGAAAAGTTCTGCCCCGGTAGCTTGTCTCAATAAACGTACCCCGATGAGGGTGCGGAGGTGTAATGTCATCAGTCCGGCCAGAGTGACCCGAATGGGACGCTGAGTTACAGCTGCAGCAAAACGTTCCAGCTGTGAAATAGCAGGAGAAATAAAATCAGTGTCAACGGACATGGGAGGAAAAGAGGCGTTACAAATCAGATACTTCCACTGAAAAATTTTCGGGCAAGGGCGTAAATTAAATTTTACGCTAAAAAACGGCAAGACAGAAACGTCATGCCGAAATTTGTCGTGACTCAGAAATTCACGCCAAGGTTTGACGTGAATTTCCCAGAGGTCCAGAACGGGGCCTACTCATGTTCCGTCCCACGTTCCGTGATGGAACGGCACGTTGCAATCGTTGTGTTGTTCCGTTCCACAGCGGAGCAGCCAGAGATGGCTCAGACGAGGCGGTCGCATCGTCGGACAACACGATGACATTATTCACCGCCTTTGACTCCGATAAAATTTGTATTGTGAAGAGCAGAAGGATGCCCTGTATTTAGTCTTCCGTAATCAACAGACTTCGATCAAATCATCCGATTCATACCCATTACCGTTTTGGTTACGAGCAGAACAGAGCGACCTTGCGCACGGACCGGGTCCGAGCGGAACGGACTAGAGCGATTCTCACGTTTTGGGGTAGTTTCGTTTCTTCTGACTCCTGTGCCCAAACGAGCGCAGACGAGCGCAGATATCGACATGGGGTTTGTTTCTGATGTTAGGGAGAGCCATTGCCCACTAAACGCACACATTTCGAAAAGTTCACGTTCGTTGGTTTGGTCTACGTAGCGTTTGGAATACCCTAAATGTAACTTCCGTGATTGTCCAAAGAGAACATACTCGAACTTTCCACCCCCAGTGTGGCGGTGTTGTTCGAAAATGCTGCCAACTGTCGATGGGGATTCGAAGCTTGGCATGTCTCGAGCTGATTTCAACCGAAGACCAATACGCCAGACTTCTTTCAAAGGTACTTATGCTGTAACGAAAAATGTCCTCCGTATATTCAATTTCACTACACAAATTTCGAAAAGGCAGCTCTGGACTTCTCCCCAAGCCAAACTTTAAACTTTCCATGACACAAGCCATCAAAGTGGAGGCCCTGGGATATAATTGCATGGGTCGCGGAAATCTAAGATGCTGTACACGGTCTCAAAGCGGGCTAGAGCATTATAAAATGGCGTGTATCAACAATTACCTGTAACTTCCGTGGTACCCTTTACCCAATGTTGCAGCAGTACTAGGTGAAAAAAAATTCCGCTTAAATGTCGGGCTTGGAGTATCATTTGACCCTGGAACGACTTTTAAGCCACAGCAAGCCCGAGTCAGCCGTTAAAGCCCATTTTCACACTTTGTAACTTCCGTGATAACGTAATTTCCGTGATCAAAATACCCACTAAAACGTATGGGAATACCTTATGGCTCATGTTTTTAGGAAGGTAGTACAAGGTCTTTACTATCAATACCATTGCCATAACTCTAGTATCATCCAGGACCCCAATAATCAGAAAAACTTAATTGGATATTTCTCACTTTCGGCAAATCAGAGACGCCAAAACTACCCCGAAACGCGAGAATCGCTCACTAGTCCTATTCGTCCGCGGATCGGGTCCTGTCCGAGTGGAACCGAGTGATCTGGTCCGTGGAACGGGTCCGAGCGCGGAACGGAGGTAATAGTGGTCCGCAGACCGGGTCCGAGTGGTACAGAGTGAGGTGGATCCATTGCCGGAGCGGTTCCAAAAGAATACAAGGTGTACCAACTACGAAAGCGAAAATTTATATGGACTCGCAATTCACACGGGCGTGCAGAGGGCCATACACCTTCCAACCTTGGTTGACAGAATCGCACAAGTGAAAGGAAACAAGACTGAAATTGAAAGCATACTCAAGGATGTCTTCACAATTGTTGGCGTTGGGACATCTCGTAACGAGGGCAAATGTCTGCCACTATATGACTGCAAGAAATGCTTTCTCCCAGGCCATGTACGTTTACAACTCGAAAATGACATGAACTACTTGAATTCAAAATCACCGTTTATTCCTGTCTTCTTTGTGTTTCAGGTGCTGCCACCAGATCCAATCAATACACAGGACTTGGAAATCCACAAGATGGATCAGGATGATGAAAAATTTTCATCTTCAAGCGATGAATCTTCAAGTGAATCTGAACACGTGGCAAAAAAGGGACGGAAAATTCTGTTAATTTTTTTGCCAGGATTCTCCGTAGCCCTCTTATCAATATTCTCCGTAGGCCCTTTCAGTATTCTCCGTAGGGGCCCCACAGTATTCTCTGTAAATCCGCACAGTCTTCTCCGTAGGACCTCGAAGACTGTATAGTCCTACGGAGATCACTGTGCGGTCCTACGGAGAATACTGTGCGGTCCTACAGAAAATACTGTAAGAGCCTACGGAGAATATTGATAAGGGGCCTACGGAGAATTACCACAAGCTGTTTACAGAATTTTTCCCTAGCTTTTTGCCCCAGTGAAGAATCTGAAGAAGATGATTTTTGACAACCCATCTTTTAAGGTGTTTACAATAAGGGAAAATCGCGACAGAAAAAAGTCCCCCTTCTCTTAAATAATCCTTCCGAAATCCTTCTCATATTACCTGACATGATTGCACCTCTGAAATGCGAGGGAGTTCCACATGGAGTGAATGATATTAAGAGTCGCCGTCCCCTAAAAAAAAGGACAACGAAAGAGCTACAAGAGACTTTCCTTTCTCGATAGACACTGTAAATTTACAAGTAAGAAAATGAGGTAAGTTAGTTGGGGGGGGTGTTTAGAGAGTGGGGGCCCCTAAGTTCATGGGGATTCAAGGCATCGGTTCCCCAAACCCTTTTTCCCGCCGCGACCCCAAAATGGCTTCCAAAAATTTTTTCGACCGCAGGAACAAAATTTCACGACCCCATTTTTTTGGGGGGGGGGGGGGGGCATTGTTTTCGAAAAAAAAAGGGCACCTTTTTAATTGTAACCCAATTTAGAGGGTTTGAGTGCATTTAAAAAAGAGGGCCGTAATTTTTGAAGAGTCAAAATGATAGATAGCTGCCTTGCTGTTTCAATTCTGACACCCGAGCTTGGTTCTCTTTTGTGCCGCCCGCGCGGTGAAGTACCGCCAAAATCGTTCGATGCCATGGTGCGCGGGTGATGGCAAAGTAGCGTTCGCCACCATGTCAAACCCATTATTTTGGACGAATTTCACGGTAGTTTTTCTGAAATTTTTTGTTTACCGCGCTTCTGAATGACCGCCATATCATAGTAAATTCCATTTTTCTGCTCTGTCACATTTAGTACTAAGAAAAGGTTACGTTGAGCTTTGGCTACAGCCATGAATGACAACGCCAGCTCTTACTTCCAGTCTGCCATTTGGCTTTTTTTTTAAGAGGGGGGGGGGGGGCATTGCGGGGCTCACATAGCGCCTGGAGGGGGACCGCTCTCCAACTGCAGGATAGGCACCCGAGGCCAGTCCGGCCCTGTTATAATATTGGGTCATCATGACAGAGATTTGCCGCTTGCGAACATCAGTATTTGTTTTTAAACTTAGCGCGAATTTTATATTCTAAAACGGCTGCATTTAATAGTGTAGCGACTGCCAATCCTCTCCATTTCCGGTTTTGTGGTGTGTTCCTGGATCCCCACTGTGCCCAAGACAGATACCCAGACATCAGGCTACGTTGGTCAACGGAAGACGTTAAGTGGCCCAATCCGTAACGTCTTCCAAATATATCACACTTACAATCTCAGTAACTCGCGCAACCCGAAGAAAAAACCACATGAGAAAGAGAGGTCTTGACGCCATTGCCATCACTCCTGCCCAAATGGTGTAAACCTGCCGATAAGACATCAAGGCAACGATTTTGGCATTTGATATTATGGCAACTAGCGGTCCCAATGTGTACAAAGTCTCGATGGAGACCAAAAGCTCGACGAGTACGATGAAAGCCACTTGTTTGCCAAAACAAAGGCACACCATTTCCAACGCATCCGTCGTAGCCGTGTGCAGCATCCGTGCCTGGGAAATGAATGTCAAACACATTTAATGCGATGCACAGGGCAAAAGCGCGCGAACACAGAAAAGAAGTCGTGGGAAGCAGGGGTGCAAACAAGCTACGCGGCGCGTGAAGCGATGCACAGTAAATGCTTTACGGTGAAAGGCTGCACCAACATATTATGGTGGAGATTTTCTCCATAATACTCACGAAATTCATCAAAATCAAAACAGTGACTTCTCAATGGTATGTTACGAACTCAGCTGCACCACCATAATATGGAACATTTTCACCATAATATGGAGAATCTTCGGTGTAGAACATTTAGAGTGTGCTGTGCTCCCCGCACGGCGGAGCCGTGGCCGGAGCGCGGCCAGGGCCAGCCTGCGCGGCGCCACCATGTCGCTAAAATTAAAATAACTCAAATCTGTATACACCGAATTGAGTAAACGAGGTAATGTTTAGAAGCTACACAAAATTTCCTGTGCGAGCGTTGCAATGGATTTGTGTTTCTGACAAGTGAAACACGTTTCAATGCAATTTGCAATTAATTTTCCGTACACCAATCCACCGACTACAACTTTCCCTCCCTTTCAGAAAATAAAGCGATTTCCGTTCGTTTCGGGCCCGTGCATTAAGCGAGGTGATTTTTGGCCACTGTTCACCCTGCAGTTTGATGTCAGTGAAATTTTCGATCAACAAAACACACGAAAAACGTGAAAGAGACTTGAACAAAACTCACCCTGAATATCAGTACCAGTTTTAAAAAAGGTGCAGTTTTTGACCATTTTGCTTTGATGTCCCTCCTAAGCTAGAGATCCCTGCTTTTGTCTGAGATGAACATTCTAGTCCTCGCCGATCAAAGAACAAGCACTGTAAAATAATTGTTCGTAAAATTACAAACATTTCTTGGGTAATTTTGTTGCAAGAATAATTTTTTTGATCTAAACTTGTTTTAACAAATATTTTGTAAATTGACGAAGCCATCACCCCATCTCGTAATTTTACAAGCAATTTGTGCAATGGAATTACCTAAATACTTGCTGTAATTTGAGGATGCATTTCATATTGTTATGACCATCCTGTAGTATTATCGTCGCCTTTGAAATGTATTTCGTCAATACCATTTCATAAGTCAGTGTTCACAAACAAATTTCTTCAGACGAAGAAGATTTCTGTGATGAATTATTCCTAAAACGCCCTCTACAAATAGATTTCATGGACTTTGTAACAATTGTTTTTGTAAAATTACATTAATTTTTTACAGTGAGAGGAAGAAGCCGGACAAAAAGGTGCGGGTAGCAATCCCGGTTTCATGGAGAAAAACAGACCAAATATCATTATTACCTTTGTCAAAATGTATTTGAAACATACATAACGCGTCAAGGAGGAAGTTACGCCTCGCGAAACTCAGAAACTCACACGTAGAAGCCTGCGAGGGTATACATTGCCGGCGCCAGTTCAGTCTTTTTTTCTTTCCTTTTTCTTCCATCGGCGACGACTATAGAATGCTCTATTAAAACGTGCACATTGTTCTGAGACTTTAAAATGCAGGAATGGAGATCGGTCTTTGTTCGGGCGACCAAAAGATCATCGCTCTTTGTTCAGAGGCGACCCATCGCATTGCATTCCAAAATCAAGAAAGCTGAAGTCAAATGTCTGGTTGTATCTTGTCATGTCGGCCGGAATTGTTTGTTCGGTCTGAATTTAGCAGCCTGGGTGGCATAAAATTAGTTTTACCAGTTAAGTTTATCCTGTTTGCTTTGAAACCCCATTTACGAAAGCACGTGTAATGCTAAAGATCCTTGAGTACAGAAATGGGTTGCACTCGGAAAGTTAGCTCTGCGGAAGGAGCGGAAATGACCTCTACGTGCGGAATCACCTATCAGAAAATACTAATACTACAAGGTGTTGGGTTTCGTATCAGTGGTTGCTCTTGGGTACTACTCACCTCTTCCACACGTCGTTGGACGTTGTAACCTTTATATAGCAGCACTTCAACTGTCTTCAGACTCTGATTTATACGAGCGTAGCGATTTGAGAGAGTCTCCACCGTGTACATAAACAGAGCCTGTTCGACTCCAAGCACCACGTCCTAAATAAAAAAAAAATATGATCACACTCAATGCTCTCAATGGATAATCGGGAGTTCTGCTTCAGACATAACTTTAAACCCACATAACCGTTTATCCTTATAATTGGTGACAGACATAACCGGCTACAGACATAACTGGTGTCACACATAAAACAGGATTAATTATGGTTGAAAAACTGTAAACACAAATAACTTTCAATACCCATAACTTTATTCAGAAATAACTTTTAAATTCCTATATAAAGACATATTTATAAATTTCTTTTAGAAATAGAGGAAGGTAGAAAAACAATGGAGCTTAGTTAAAAATTGAGCTGCCTTCCGGCAGCTCTCGTTCACTTTCTCCTCCTACCCTAGATGAAACGGGTGGAACATCCCCAGCACCCCTGCTGCGACCACCCCTTCCGCGGCCGCCTCTGGCACGGCTGCCTCGCGGACGTCCACGCGGGCGAGTGCCCCGCACCTGGACGGTTATGTCTGTCGACGGTTATGTCTATCAAATATTATGCCTGTCGAATGTTATGTCTGACAACAGTTATGTGAATGAGCGATTTGGTTATTTCTGTAAAATGTTATGTTTCTAGCAGATAAGATAAGATAAGGCGCGACTGAGCAAAGCCAAAATTGACAAACTCCGGATTCCGCCGGGTCGGGACCCGTACAACGGCGTCACTAAAGGGGACCCCGCCACGCTACAGCGCACAGTGGTCTGGGTGACCGATTTAGGCGGACAAATAGGCATTTCTATAATCTGTTAAATATCGAATATATCGGCACAAACCGTTAGCATAATGTTTGGGAGAGTTCTTTTGGATCAAGGGGTCACCTTATTTTTCACACACGGGGTCTCAAACTTAATGAATGCGCCAACGCTAATTTTCACTTGAAAAAGTTGTCCACAAATTAAGTTCTGTAAAATTGAGTTTTGGTCACAGCTAATTTCTGAAGATATAGCGTGAAAGAGCGTTCTTTGGCGAATAAATTTGATTACTCACTTTCGGGATTCGACCAATTTTTCGTTTTGCTATCGACTTGCGAAGAAAGTGTTGAGCAAACGGTGAAATTCAAACATTTCTAAGTTCGAGAAAGTTTCATTCGGCTTCATTCATTTTCATTTCTGGTCTAAAATGTCAGCAATATATTAAGGAAATCGATGCAGAAAGAACCATCTGCTAAAATCTGCTACTCTAATTTCTGCACGGTCCAACGCAACCACGGAACGCACAATATGCGACACCGGCCGGCACGCGCGCGCTCGGCGCACAGACGGACATCATACAATACTCCGGTAATACTCAGACAAAAATAATTAAACTGTTGAACGTTAGGTTTTACGGGTCGCTGAATCCGATTCTGTAAAAATTTCGAACCAGGGGCGGCTCAGTTTTACAGAAAAGGGGGTTATTTTTTTTTTATTATTTTTAAGATATGGCCTTCAAAAGTCCAGCTCCTTGGTTTTGAGGGCCGCTGAGTCTGATTCTGTAGAAAGTTTGGACCAGGGGCGGCTCAGTTTTCCAGAAAAGGGGGTATTTTTTTGTTTTTTAAGATATGGCCTTCAAAAGTACAGCTCCTGGGTTTTGAGGGCCGCTGAGTCTGATATTCTGTAAAAATTTTGGACCAGAGGCGGCTCGTTTTCCAGAATAGGGAAATAAAACTCCAAAAATACCCCCCTTTTTGGAAAACTAAGCCTCCTGTAATCCAAAATGTTTACAGAATCAGACTCAGCGGCATTCAAAACCCAATTACTGTACTTTTTAAGGCCATATCTTGAAAAACAAAAGAAATACCCCCTTTTCTGAAAAACTGAGCCGCCCCTGGTCCGAAATTTTTACAGAATCAGACTCAGCGGTCCTCTAAACCCTTCCACTGTACTTTTGAAGGCCAGGTCTTGAAAACAAAAACTACCCCCCTTTTCTGGAAAACTGAGCCGCCCCTGGTTCGAAATTTTTACAGAATCGGATTCAGCGACCCGTAAAACTTGACCTCTAGCAGTTTCATTATTTTTGTTTCAGTATTACCGGAGTATTGAATTATGTCCGCCTAAATCGGTCTCCCAGACCACTGTGCGGCGCGCGACGAGTGGACTACCTTCGCAGCGTTTGCTCCTCCGGAGCCCACGGCGTGAGGGTTTACTATAGGGAGAAAAGCTTTGGTACAACAGCAACCACGCCCCCACAACAAACAGAGCTCCCTCTGTTAAGGTCATTGGCCGTTTCCGACATCTTTTGCTTCTTCTCCCCATCCCGAAGCCGGTAGTGGAAAGGGGTCGCGCCCGTTCTTCCCCTCTGGCGAATCCTATCAGTCGACCTCCAGGTTGACAGTGACCATTCATGCCGCACATCTTGCAGTTCCTCGTGGTTAGATATGCAGAAACAAAGAGAGAGACAAGGCATAAGCATGGGTCTAACAGCAGCGCCTTAACTAACACCAGTCGAATGGCAGTCCCATATCTGGTCCAGCTCATCGATAGGCGTGTCCGTCTTTTGCGGTTGGCATCATCTTCATCATCTTCCACAAGAAAGCGATGGCAGCCCCCGGGGGGAACGTGTGCACAGGGCCCGGACGCGACGGCATGGGGAAGGGAACGTGCGGAAGCAGGAAAGAGAAACAAGCTCACGATGGGAATTGGACGAATCAGCCAAGCGATAGAAAGCACCCTGCACCTAGAAGCGACACACACTCTGTCACACGCACACCTCCTGCCCCCTACAGCCTGCCCTCAGCGCGCGCGCCGAAGGCGTGCCTAGCACATCCCCTCCCCCCTGTAAAATGTTATGTTTCTAGCAATTAAAATTTTAATTTCAATATAAATGCTTTTATATTTCAGAAATAAATGCGTTATTTCTGTCACCAGTTATGTCGATTTACAGTTATGTGGGTCAAAAGTTAAGTCTGTCAGCAGCAACTCGGATAATCGATAGCAAGGCCAAGCTCGTTGCTCTAGTGGGGCTGAAACTTTGTTTTGATTTTTGGACCGAGGTTCACACGGTGAATCCATCGCTTGGGATTAATAGGGCTTTTCTCACGTTTCCAGGAGACCTGACGTGTTCCCAGGGCGGACGCAGGCGATCACGTAAAATTTCCAGGGCCGACCCTGCATTGTCAGAAAATTCCGAAAAAGAAATGGAAAAATCATGGAGTTTTTCCGAAACTTCTGCACGGAAAAAAGGAATTCGTTGACCCAACGAAAAAGTGCGTTGATTCCGTGATAACCGAAAAAATGTGTTTGAGTTACTTCTTTGAGTAACGAAATTTTTGTTGGTAAAACTAACAATCTGTTAGCGCTCCGAAAAGATCCGTCAAAGGAACAAAGTCATGCTTTTGACTCTCCAACTAACTTTCATGCTCCGCCAACGAATTGTTCGTCGGACCAACAAATTATTCGTTACGCGAACAAAATACGAAGAGAACGGCGGCTTCGCAGCCTGCGAAGGAAATCGTTTGTAATAAGACAAAGGAAAATTCTCCGTAGCCTACGAAGAACTTCTTCGCAGCCTGCGAAAGATTTTTCCTTTGTACTACAATGAGAACTGTTCGTATGACAAACAATTTCCTTCGCAGGCTGCGAAACCACCGTTTTCTTCGTATTACAAAGAGCAGTTCTTTGTAGGAATTTATCTGTGCACTGGTGCAATTTGGTGGCCTTGAAAAGCAGGTTCACTCGGCTACAGCGTGCCACAACGCTCTGCGGTCTCCCATATTTTCGGCAGGGTAGCATATATTGTTATATGTTACGTGATGAAAGCAGGGTTCGTTGAATGTTGAAATTAGGGATCTCTGCTGGTGTGACAATGACTCACCTGCAATAATCGCAAAGACTCGAGAATAACGGTGACCGTCTCGTTTTCAGCGGCGTTCAGTTCATTCATCAAAAACGACGCCAATTTCTGAATTAAGCTCAGTATTATGAAGATCAGAGTTTGCCTCGACACTTTGGACGCAGCTGCGTTGGAAAGAACTTTTCGAAAAGTGAGGTGCTTGTTTTCTGTATGCCGTCCGAAGGGAAAGGAAGAAGTGTAACTTGCGACGAGATACGCCGCTAAGCGCGCTATTATTAAAATCATTAAAACTGTCAAGCTGCGTAAACTCTTAAATACCCTAGAGGTGATCTCATGGAGGATTCCTAGTGTGATAAGGAGGTTTGAACCACATACTACAATGTTGAATATGAAACTGTACCTGCGAAGAGACGAACCAATTAGGAGACTGTCATATTACAGGATCAACAAATTTATACGTTAGGCATTAATCTAATGACTTTACAGAAACACACAATGGGCGTGTTGTATAAGTTCACGCACCTACACGACACGTTGCAAAGTGTACCTTTTCATGCGAATTATGCGCATTGAAACAAATGATCACTACACTCTCAGCACGTTATTGACTTTTTCCTCATTTTGTCAGTACTTATGCAAGTAATTTGTGCAACCATAATACGTACTTTTCCTTGTTTAAAGAACTACTTAGAAAATATCAAATAATGTACTGAGAATTTTGTTTTGTACATAATTTTACAAAGGAAATTAGTCATACTTACCTAGAAAATACTAAGCACTTTTGCTGTTTATACGAATACGTAATTAATGAGGACACTGGTAAAACTAAAGCGTTACTCTATGCTTGAGTCATGTATAAAGTTACGCTTGAAGACGTTACGCTTGAAATCAAGCATAGTCTGGAAATTCCCCCATGCATTAAGATAGGGGAAATCTTGGCGAATGAGCCTGTTACGCTTGATTTCAAGCGTTAACTAATTACGCTTGAAAACAGTGGGTAATACTACGCTTTAGTTTTACCAGTGGAAAAAGGCAGTACCCTAGAAGGGGGTAATATGAGACAAATTTCGAGTTTTTTTGTGAATTTTCCCCTTTTAAATTCAATTTGAGGTACTGAGGTGTTCATCACTTGTTCATTGACCCTTTGGCTACACTCCCACCAAATTTCAGTTTTTGAGGTGCAGTAGGGACCTTTCATTAACACTCGGAATGCCGTCCCAAATTTCCCTGCAATGTGGGGTAATATGAGACAAAAGAAAGAAATGTTCAAGAAGTAAGGAGAATTAAATCATTTAGGCGGGTTTGGAGCTTTTTAAGCTCTGTTCATTCATTTGAAGGATGATTGGAAACTACAATGGAGACGATATAAAATCTGGAAGGAAGAAAAATGGGTGTCACTAAAGAGAGCTGAAAAATGTATAAGAAGTCATGAGTTCTGCCTGTCACATGAAAATACTAAACGAAGAGCTTAGATGCCGGTCAGATAGTAAAACAAATTCGCGTTAAAATCATTATTACTTGAAATTATTAACAGTGGAGTATGTTTGGCCTCATGTTTCAAGCGAAAAGAGGTGTCTCTATTTTCCCTGCAAGGTAACAAAATTGTATTCCATCTGGAACAGGCAGCCCGGAAGTAGACATAACGGAACCTAATTTTGTCCTGATAATGTTGACATAATTGCCAACAGATTTAAACCTCGTTAGGACGAGAGCCCGAGTTCTAACCAAGGTTTCTGGGGAGGTTTTTACTAGCTTTATACAACTTGTAGAATTTAGAGGTTTTTCCTTTGGTTCTAAATAATCCTGGCGAGTCTCTGATAGCCTTCGTCCGTTTCCTGTGAGCTGCCTCGGGCTCCTTTACTGAGAATCCAAACGCTATGAGTATAGCGTCAATTGGTGCAATGCAAAAGCATTGCACATGATGTGCAATGCCTCCCAATTCACATGCATTAGCACAGGGCATTTTCGGGAAGCATTGCACCTAAGGTGCAATATGGCTGGGGCATTGCACGTAAGGTGCAATATATCAGCGCATTGCACCATACGTGCTATACTCATAGCGTTTGAAATCTCAGTGTAGATCACGAAAAAAAATTCGTGGTCTTCAGAATAGCCGCTAGAGAGCAACACGACAAAAACCGAAAAAAGTGCGCTTTGTCTCGATTTTCCATTATGTCTCATATTACCCCGTTCTACGGTAACGTGCTGAGAGTGTAAGAAAATCTGACGAGTGCCTCGAAGTCCAGCGCGCAAAGTAACGAATTTCCGTAGTGTGTTTTCACCTAGCTTAAATTTTTATGAAACCACGCGGGGATTGATTTGGGTTTTATATTTCTGAAGTACCGCGAACCTTTGCTGTCCAGGTTCTCACTCATAGTCCAAATAGGTTGCTTTTAATCCCGTTTTTGGTGGTACTTACAACTGTGTATTACCCACTTAGGTCTATCGAAATCAAAGAGGTCTTAACCGAAATAAGTCCAGTTCATGAAATAATCGTCACGCAGTGACACGCGACCAATTTTCCCTTATTTTCTCGACACGACACGGGTCATGCTGTGGGGGTTCGACATGGTGCGTTTGCAAGGGAGTGATTCTCGCCTTTCGGGGTATTTTCTTTTCTCCAGGCCACTGTGCCCAAACGAGTGCAGATATCGACATGGACTTTGTTCCTTCCCACTAAACACACACATTTCAAAAAGTTAACGTGCGTTGGATTGTTCTTCCTAGCTTTCGGAATACCCAAAATGTAACTTCCGTGATTGTCCCAAGAGAACATACTGGAACTTTCCACCCCCGCAGTGTGGCGGAGTGGTTCAAAAATGCTGCCAAATGTCGATGGTGACTCGAAGCTTCGCATGTCTCGAGTTTGTTTCAACCGAAGACCAATACGCCAGACTTCTTTCGAAGGCTTTTTTGCTACGCTGAAAAATGACCACCGTGTATTCAATTTCACTAAACAAATTTCGAAAAGGCTGCTCTCCACATCTGCCGAAGCCAAATTTTTGACTTTTCTTGGCGTTGGCCATCATAGTAGAGTCCCTGGGCTAAGCTTGCGTGGGTCGCGGAGGTCCAAGATACTCTACAGGGGTTACCTCACCAGATATACATTCCCACCAGACATAATCCCGCCAGATATAAATCTCACCAGATATACAGGAATTAATTTTATTTTGATAAACGCATATTCGCACGAAATATAAATCCCACCAGATATACACTAACTAATATTTTAAAATTAACCGTCTCACCAGATATAATTCCCACTAAATATAATTCTCACCAGGTATAACAGTAAAAACAAATCATATGCAATGCAGGTTAGCACGTTGGCAGAACTGCAGTTTATATGTATGGAACGGGCATCTGAAGTGCTCTACTCTGCGAAGTCAACTCTGTTTGGATTGAACTCTTTTGCATACTCTTTTTAGCGTGTACTCAAGAGAACACACGGCAAAAGTACCGCCTGGGATTCCCAGGCGCATCATGGGAAAAAGGGCCTATTTTCCAGGCACCGCCTGGGAATCCCAGGCGGTGCTTTTGCCGTGCAGTCCCACAGTCTCAGCTGCATTTGTTTTCAAGGGAACTACGTAAAGTGTTTACTGATCAGACCATACTCGTTGGCGTGTACTGATCTGAGCACACTCTCATTGGAGTGCACTCAGCGGAGCTCGTTAGAGTGTACTCTACTCAGCCAAGTACACTCTCACCGGAGTGTACTTGTGAGTGCACGTAAAATAGAGTGTATTGAGCACACTATCGAGTTTGCAGTGTAGTTGCGTTGCGTCGAAAGAGCAGGATTAATTGCATTTATATTTATTTTAAAAAAATAATTACTGTATACCTGGTGGGATTTATATTTCGTGCGAATATGCGTTGAAGCAAATAAAATTAATTACTGTATATCTGGTGAGATTTATATGTGGTGGGATTATATTTGGTGAGATTATATCTGATGAGAATGTATATCTGCTGATACCATCTCTACAAATCCAAAAGCGTACATACTACGCTGTAGGGGTAGGTTGGGAAAGAAAAGTATAAAACGCGTACTTTGCACTGTACAGACGTTTCAAATGAGGATTCAACTATTCTGCTCTCGTGAACTTGTAATCCAATGCCTTCCTAATGAAATGGATCACTGTTCATTGATTATAGTTCCCTACATTACGTACAACATGCCAAAATGTATGTGACTTTGGAACTCCTCGAAAAGGGTAAGAAAAGTACACCACCGGGAAAGAAAAGTACAACGAAAAGAATTGCGATTTCGAACCAGGAGACCACCAATCTTGGCTCATTACAGGTTTACCCATAAAGTGGAGAGCTTTCACTTGCCATTAGTTCAAGTTTTGTCAAAATCGGTCACTTGACAATTGACAATAATTGGTTCTGATTCTACATGGACTCATCACAGAAGGTCCAAAAAGCCTTTTCTCACACTCTTAAAACCTTACGAAGTATTTTGAGCATACATATAACAAACTAACATACATTGTTATACGAAGAAATAGTTCGTAAATTACGAAGTATTTTCTTTGTAAGCTTACGTATGCTCAAAATACTTTGTTATACAAACTACTTTTCTTTGTAAGGCCCAAAATAGTTTGTAAGGTTTTCTTAGTACAAAGATAAGTGGTTACAGCATTTTTGTTCTTTTCTTCCCCTTTTCACGTAAATGCCCAATAACTTGTTTGATTCTAGTCTAATTCTACAAGGTAGGTTTACGCCAGACCACGTCCTGTCGTAACAGGCTTCGCGATGTCTCGCGGCCTGTTCCTCCAATCCGCGCCTGGCGTACCTACCTTGGCCTGCGGCGCTAGCCTGCCTTTGGCAGGCATTGCCTTATCCGTCGTCGAGTATTTCTTACTTGTTGCATGCTGGGGGGCTCCGCCCCAGACCCCCCTTCATTCTAGATAGAGTTGCTTCATCTACAGATAACTCGATCTTGACCCTTGTAACGTTTTAACTTGTCGAGGCTGCGAGGCTCCGCCTCCCAGACCCCCTTTCTTCAAGACAGGAGTGATCTGCCTGCAGAAAAATCGATTTTTTTGCCGTTTTGGAGGTGTTTCTTGGCTATGAAAACTGAACCA